AGGCAACTACTATTTAGCAAACATTTCATGCAAATGTGAACTGAAAGAAAAAGTGAGGAAAATAATATGAAGAAAAATCAGAGAAATAATTTTCTCACTTTACACAGAAGTAAAAGAAAATGAAATCAAATAAAGCAAGTAACTGAAGAAACAAGTAGAAAAGTGATACCCAGAATAGAAAGACAACCAGATACAAAAGAAATGTTTGACAAGAACTATACAGAGATGCTGGAAGTACAAAGTAATGTAGAATATAATGTCAGATCTTAATGATAAAAATAAAAAAGGAAGAAATTTTGTAGGAAAAAAATTGTATATTAAATACAATTAAAATTAGGCAAAGAAATAATAAATCAGACTTACTCACAATCAATTTAATTTAACTATCCGACGACCGGTTTCGCTTTCTACAATATGCAAAGCATCTTCAGGTCTCGGTACAAAGTTAAACAAATGATGCCGGTACTCTATTAATAGATGGATGGTAGAACATGTTTGAAACTACTGTATATTGTTGAATGGAGAACTCAATACTATTATTGCAGTTGTTTGACAGTAAACGGGAAGTTCTTGAGGAGGTAGATTTGATCCAATGAATTTGAGATGTGTGTGAGATTGTTTGTTAAATGTAAGTGGTGTAATATATTATTGTGTTATTGAAAGTTATTTATATTTATTCCAGAGATATATTTTTGAAATGTGTGTTATTTATTGAGTAATTGTTTTATGAAGGTGACATTTATGACAATGAATAAGTGTAGATGTAAAATTGTGTGGGTGTGCAATTATTTCCAAACTTGTAGTTATCAAATTACTTTGATAAAGTTCTATTGGCAATGTGTTCATTATTGGAATTGTCAAGTGAATAAAATGGTAAAATAAATTATCCTTAAGTGTTTGTATTTTACCATTTTATTCATTTTATTCACTTGACAATTCCAATAATTAACACATTGCCAATAGAACTTTATCAAAGTAATTTGATAACTACAAGTTTGGAAATAATTGCACACCCACACAATTTTACATCTACACTTATTCATTGTCATAAATGTCACCTTCATAAAACAATTACTCAATAAATAACACACATTTCAAAAATATATCTCTGGAATAAATATAAATAACTTTCAATAACACAATAATATATTACACCACTTACATTTAACAAACAATCTCACACACATCTCAAATTCATTGGATCAAATCTACCTCCTCAAGAACTTCCCGTTTACTGTCAAACAACTGCAATAATAGTATTGAGTTCTCCATTCAACAATATACAGTAGTTTCAAACATGTTCTACCATCCATCTATTAATAGAGTACCGGCATCATTTGTTTAACTTTGTACCGAGACCTGAAGATGCTTTGCATATTGTAGAAAGCGAAACCGGTCGTCGGATAGTTAAATTAAATTGATTGTGAGTAAGTCTGATTTATTATTTCTTTACCTATTTGAAATGGACTCACACAAGCAACAAATTCATGATTACAATTAAAATTATTCGATTTGTTTCTGTATTTATTCGATTGTTGAATCTTCTTGGTAGTTTGTGTGACCAGAAATTGTTAACATAGTGCTACTGATGTGTGCGTTCAAAATCATTTTTCATAACCAATATGCATTTTAAAAATAAATTAGAAATTAATATAAATAAATTATAGTTTCGCAAATAAAAAATGAAATTAGTCATGCGCTTGATCACTTACGCTATCGTATTGTTTAGCTGCCACTATGAGTTTTACCAAGAAGCGTGTCAGTAGCCGAGAAAGGGTGCGTTCTTGATCAGTACATATTTAGTTTTCTCAGAGTTATAAGTCATGTGTTAGAAGTATACAGTTGCCTTTGTATTTAACGAAATATTGCTTTTGTTAAATATTGTTTAATTAAATAAAAATGAAAGAAGGTAGTACAAGAAGGAAGAGTATAAATGTGAAAAGGTCTTGTAAATAGTCAAGACTTGAAACTAAAAGCATAGTTTCTCATATCAGGGTTCGCCTCCCTCAAGCTTTTCCTGAAAATGTTAATCTTCATAGTTTTTCTTGCTGTTCTGTCAATATATTAAGCTTTTTGTCTCTTCACACCTTCCGTTTAAACTCTTTTCTGCTTTTGTTTAATTTCTGGTAAAAATTTCTTGCTTCTGTTGTTTCACTTAGTTCTTGTAGTTCTTGAAGTTTTTTGTTCAAATTTTTTCTCTTCTTTCTCAGGTGATTTTTTTCTCCTTTACTTAGTTATTTATTTTCCTTCTCTGTTTGTCGGATTTTGTGCTTTTTCTTTCTGTTCTAATCTGATAAAACCTTCGTCAAACCAGTTTATTCGTCCTTGTTCTTTGTTTAACATCCATGCCTAGTAATTCTTTAACTGATTTTTCAGGATGTTTCTGCTCCCTTCCCCCTCTTCATTTATATTTTCATCTGTTTCTATTTTTGTTCGTATATTTGAGTCCTTCTACATTGTATCGTTCATGATACTATGATAGAACATATTTCCATTTTTATGTTTAAAATTCTAGCACCTACTCTACTTTCGACCAAATGGTGATCAGAATCGACTTAAAATTCAGCATTTCTTAAACAATTTTTTTTATTTTGTTGGGCTATTATATGTTATCATATCTGTTTCATACCATAAATTACACGTTTACTTTGTATTCCAGTTTGGCGGAATTTTCAGTTTTTTATTGACGCGTATAACACGAAAGTATTTTATTCGTTGCAGCAATCGTTGATTTAGCTGCTAATTCAGCTGTTGATTCATCTCTGGTAGCTACATTTATTATGCTGGTAAACAAATTTCGTCATAATGTTAGAGCATTGCATAATTCCGATATTTAATATACTAACTCGATTATTTTGAAATTCAAGAGAATTAAATTTTTCTCAAAAATAAACTTCGAATCTTGATATTCGTGTTTCTTTCTGTTTACTGCCGAATACGTATATTCAATTGCGGAGAGGATTGTATTAATAACAATGTAATTAATGTAATGCATGAACACGTTTTGGTATGTATTTAGAAGTCATTGAATATGTACAGACCAAAAAAGCACCTGCGGTTGTTAGTACTCCTTCTATTGGTAGACTAGATAATTAAATATCCTTCTGAAATAAAAAATATACTAATTTAGAAAAAGAAGATGTATTTGACATCTTTAGGTATATAGTCGACACATTATTATTGTGAATAAAACTTATAAACTAGATCTAATGGATTATTTCTAATATTATAAGCAGACATATAATATTCTATTCTATTGTTACAATGTAAAATGCCCAGCAAGAATTCATAATCGATACGTGATTTCGGCTTATATTGACCACTTACGACGAATGATTTTCAATGACCAATTTCATTTTTTGTTTGCCAGACTATAACAAGCCTTTTAGACTCCGATGCTTTAACATAAATATACATATCATATTACATATAATTTATTTAATAAATAATCCTATTTACTCTAACAAAAGAACACTTATACTAGTTTAGAAGTCGTGACGTCACACGAGATAAATGAAGTTAACGACTTTTTTTAAATAAATTAATAATTATACAGGATGATTCTTTGAGGGTTTTAATTAGACTTTTTAGATAAAATATTTAATGCCTACTAACACTTCCGGTTATACAGAAAACTGACTAAAATTTCATTCTTTTAGATCTGTATATTCTTACGCATTTCGATAGAACGCATCTTGAGCATTTACTCAATATAAGGTAACGCTATCTTTCAAAGCGTTTTATGAGGTATGAAAAATTTTATTTTGACATAGTGTCCGATTTGATACACTCTATCTTAATAAATAATAAAATTGCAAACATTTTGTTTAGTACAATGTTTTTTTGGTATCTTCAATTTTAATGTATAACATATTACTTTTTATACAAGACTCAGAACGCGTAGTTAAAAATTTCTCAACTATCTGAAACGGATCATCCTTTATGATAATAATTATGTTAAGTTTGTCTAGAAGGTCTAATTGAAACTCTGAAAGGGGATAAAAATATATTGATATCACTCATTTTGTTTTAGTTGACATTGATCTGGCGGAAACTCGGCGATCCAACGAAGTTTGAAGACAAACTATTAAAAGCTTTTATCACACCAAAATCGAAACAGACTATTTTAAATTTTAAGAACTAAAGTAAAGCAACCAAAATATATTATCTAGGACAAAAAATGGATTATAAATGACAAATGAGAAATTGGAAAATAAACATTATATAGCAAAACAAAAACAAGATGATAAGGCCTACAGTGATATTTAATGCAACCAGACCAAACAAATTAAAAGCCAAAAGACTACTAGAAACAACAGAAATCGAGATATTCTGTAAAAAAAATGTGGAGCGAAATTATAAGACACAAGAGATGGGTATTAATATAAGAAATTTAGATATGACTGTACAAAAGTGTAATGGATATATAAGAATAGCTTTAAATAAATCGTCAGTGGGACATCGTAGCCTAGGCTTTCCCCAAGAAACTGGAGCGATGATTTAAGCAAGGAGGAGGCAGCTTTATGAAGATAAAATAGGCAATAGTCCTAAGATAAAGAATAATGAGGACGGAAAACAAGAAATTCGGATTTATCTTTGTACTAATGAGTTGAAAGTTTAGGTAACTGCTTCATTACGTTTCTTTTTATACAAAAATGGATTCTCGTTTATAAAAATTAATGTCTATAAAATATCTCTTAGGAATATCATTCGTGTGAAGTCAGACTTACATAGTCAATTAATAATGGAATTGCGTTAAAAATAAAATAAAATGGGCTATAAGTATCTACCTCGTTTTATTTTAGTGACTAGATACGAGGCAAAATTTGATATTGTATCCTTATGGAATCATATTTTGATAATACACTCGATAAATCATTTTTATGTAAATTTTTTCAATTGTTTTCAATTGTTCAACGGTTGAAATGTTTTTAGTACATACGTATATTTTTTAACAAAAATAACACTTTAAACTTATGTATTGAACTACATAAAACTATTTAATTTATAAATTTTGGACCTTTCTCTATGTATTTAAGCTCGATGCAATCATCTTCAGGAACTAAGCTTAGATACTTGGTAGCAGACAATACTAAAAAAGAAGAAATTAAAACTAAATTACTTGCATATTTACTTCAATATTGGACATCAATAATAGGCTAAATTAAAGAAAGTTGTTACACCAGAAAAATAAGCTAACAAATTGGTTTTTGACAAATTTATTGACAACAATATCTAATAAACAAAATATCCAAAGGATAAAACGCCACTTTTTACTTATAAACAATATATAAACAATGTAAATACTAAAAGTAAAAACAGGCGAATTATATGGTGACACAATTTTACTGAAAAATCATAGAAAATCTTTTAAAATGAGAGACTGAAAAGTAATTTTTTAAATTTTTTGCTGAATTGTGGCAAAAAAACCTTCAAAAGCAGATTTAAAAAAAATAAATAATAACTTTCGCGTGATAATATCACGTGTTTTCAGCTTAGAACATTTTAAGAAGTATGAGCGGGAATACAAAGTGTACCAATACTCATACGCTTATGAAACGCACCTGGCGGATCATAGGGGCCTTTACATTTTGCTCTTTTTCAACTTGTCTGGAGTGAAATGTCTTTAATCTTTCCTATCGGCCTCTCTTGGCAAACTCTTGTTTTTCCGACCCCGAGTGGCTATTAGGGTAATCTGAGGGCGGAAGGGTCACTATCATTCTGTCTACTACACTCTACTACTTTTCTCTCGACTAAGGGAGTAAACCCTAACAGAAAATCCTGGTCCTTCTGTTAGGGGTTTGGGACGTAGAGCCTGCTTCTCTACACCCGTGAAAAACTTACTGCAAAAAATTCTAAAATCCAGTCTCGGAATACGGACGGGAAAAAACGAAGACGACGTACCAAACGAACAAGGACTTTATATAAATACATGGAATATCCAAGGGTAGAAAACCAAGTCAGACGAAGTCATGGCAGAAGTAAAGAAAATAAAATCAGATATCACGGTTCTTACCGTAACAAAGAAAAAAGGCCAAGGTAGTGAAGACATAGGAGATTTTATACATATTTATAGTGGAGTAGAGAAAGACAAAAGAGCACAAGCAGGGGTATCAATATTGACAAAAAAAGACTTAAAAGGAAACCTGAAAAGCTTGGAGCAGATCAATGAGAGAATTATTAGAGTATATATTACGTGGAAAGGGCACGATCTCGAGATCATTGGAATATATGCTCCGTCAGAAAATGCGTCAAAAGCAAGTAAACAAATATTCTACGGAACTTTATCGGAACTCATTGAAAATATAAATAGCCGCAAATAAATTGTGCTGTTGGGAGATTTTAACGCTTGGACAGGAACAAAAGCAAATGACAAAGTCGTAGGAAAATATGGTGACGCTAAAACAAATGAAAATGGGGAACACTTAATCGAATTCTGTGAACAACACTCTCTGAAAATCCTAAACGGATTCTACCAACATAAAAACATACATAAGTACACCTGGGTTCAACCAACCAGAAACACAAAGTAAATTATAGATTATGTTATCACAAAACAAGAAACACACATACAAGTTGAAGACATAAGAGTATTAAGAGGACCGGAGTGCGGAACTGACCACTATATGGTAAGATCAAAATGTTACCTACAGTATCGACCTCGGCTACTACATCAACATGACAACCAACTGGCTCAATCAAAACCCCTGGAATCGAATCTACCTAAATACAATATTGATGCATTGCAAAACGACTCGACATCATTCTTATATTAGCTGCGACTTAGCCAAAAATTGGCAAACCTGATCTACTCCTCAGCCCAGAATACCTATAAAGAGATAATCAATAAAATCAATGAAGCAGCTTACGAAGCGCTCGGCACAATACAAAAGAACAAAAAGAATACTCCATTGTGGTGGACAAATGACATCGCCAATGCAGTACACAACAAGAAATAAGCATATCAATAGTGGCTGCAAACAAATGATCCAGATGATAAACGAACATATGCAAAATCAAACAGAGAAGTAAAAAATTTAGTAACTAAAGCAAAAAATATTTCCTGGGAAAGTAAACGCGAAGAACTCAACGAATATATAGGGTCAACAAGATCAAGAGAAGCATGGAAAACGGTAAAAAATCTGAGAACAAACAGAAAAGAAACGAGTAGAATAGATTTAATAGAAGAAAGATCTTGGATCGAACACTACTCACAACTTTTGACGGAAACAAGACCTAAATTCACGAACATCATTACAACAACATGTAAACTGGAATTAAGTGAAGACAATGAAATAACAGTACAGGAAGTCGAGAATGCAATACGAACTCTAAAAAATCGGAAGTCATAGGACCACAAAGTATACCAAATGAATTATTAAAACATAGCCCATAAGCATTACGGGAATTACTGGTGTATGTCTTCACCTTATTCTATAATGGACACGACTTACCACCGGAGTGGACAAAAGCACATATTAACAACATCTACAAAAAAGGAGATAGAAAGAATTTTTCAAACTATAGGGAGCTAAGTATCATAAATTCACTCTCAAGACTGTATGGAAAAATAATAAAAAATAAAATTGAAAAAGAGATGACAGATGTAAAAGAACAGAATGGCTTTCGTGCAGGCAGATCCTGTATGGACAGTATATTCTCTCTAAAGCAAGTTATCGAGAAAAGATTAGCCCACAACCTTTCAACTCATATAGTCTTTATAGATCTGACAAAGGCATACGATTGTGTAAAACTTGCAATGCTTTGGGTAGCAATGGAAAAACAAGGAATAAGCAAAACAAATATACAAGCAGTACAACAGCTCTACAAAAATATGACGGCAAACATTAAAACTGGAAATAGATTAACTAGAGAAATTCCGATTAGTAAGGGCCTAAAGCAAGGCTGCTGCATAGCACCTACACTCTTCAAAATATCTCTAAATGAGACACTCACTGTTGAGAAGAAAGTGCTGTAATATGGGCATCTCAATCGGAGATGATAGATTGTACACGATACACTTCGCTGACGACCAAGCCATTCTAGTTGAAGACGAGAGTGATGTAGGATACATGCTTAGAAAACTGGAAGATGAGTACACCAAATGGGGCCTCACAATTAATATACAAAAAACTGAGTACTTAGTTGTAGGAGAGAAACCAGAAAGCCTACAAATCGAAATGGGAACTACAAAACCAACAGACAATTTTAAATACTTATAACATCAAAAGCAGGAAGTAGCGAAGAAACACATTCCAGGATTGGCCAAGCAAGATCAGCCACCAGACAGCTACACGGACTATTATGAAACAAAAAAATAACAAAAGAAAATAAAAGAAGAATTTATAAAACAATAATAGAAAGTATTGGACTGTACGGCGCCGAACTCTGGGAAATAAACCAATGAAACAAATCAAAAATTAAGGCCATGGAAATGAACTACTGGAGACGATGTTGCCAGATCACTAGACTTGATAGGGTGAGAAACGAAGATATTCGGAGAGAAATGGAAATCGATCTAGACACAATAGACACAATCGAAGCCAAAAGACTTAACTGGTAGAAGAAAACGAGGTAGACCAAGACGATCCTGGAGAGACGATGTCGACGATGCAATGTTAGCCAGAGATCTAACAACTGAAGATTGCTTGAAAACGCTGGAAATTAGGATGCGAGAAGCGGCGCCAGGTGTCGAAGACTCGCTTGTTTATATATATATATATATATATATATATATATATATATATATATATATATATATATATATATATATATATATATATATATACATTTTAAGAAGTTTCATTTAGCAGTTATTGCAAAATTGAAATTGTTTATCCCAGAAAGCTTTTATCTACAACGTTATTATGCGTAAAATATTAGGTCTACAAGAATTCTGAAAGCACGACATTGAAGTAACTTACTTATATTATCATATTAAATCGCTTAATGGTTAAAAACTTTATGTTAAATATTGCAAAATGGGTTTACTAAAGTACTGTGATATTTTTTATACAATTATAAATAAAAATAGTAAAATTCAGTATTTATAACATCGTATTATATGTACGGCTACTCCACGTATTAATATGTTATAGTATATAAATTGTAATATGTTGTATATTAATTATTGTATATTATATATACAGATTAATTTCATAATTCGATAATTTATTATAATTGTTGTAAGTTTATAATAATTAATTTGTTTAAAATATATTTGTAATGTTTTCAAAGAAAAGTCATTTTAAAAATAATATGCATAATTCATGAAAAATAACACGTATATATTTTAATCTCAAATCAAAATAAATTTTTTGTAAAATTTATTGTTAAAAGGTATTTTTTATAACTATAATACTTGACTATTTAAGTTGCTTATCATTTCATAACCTTTTCGACTAATAATAATAATAAAGTGAAATTTTGCATTATTTTATACTGTGTAAACAAATTATTCGGTTAAATAAACAATTGACAAATTCACTAGGTAAATACTTTTTTATGATCTATGGCACGAGGTAGGTACCCCAAATTAAAAGGAAGCATTAATTTTCGTTGATTAGCGGGACATATTGCGAATTTTATAAATTTGAATTTATGAATTCAATTTTTGAAATAGTAAAATTGCTTCGCCCCTAAACCCTTTATCTTTGGAGCATCATGGACGGCTCATTTTAAAGGAATCGTTTTAAAACATTTTTGTCAAAACTTTACCTTTCTATCATTAAATGGTGTTTTTTCTTAATGGTTATAAATAAAACGGTGAATTCTTTTCGAATAAAAATAAATTAAACTTCTACATGTAGATGCGCCTGAGTTATTTTAAATGTTTATAAGCTTAAAATAACCGTACTTTTGTAAAGCTGTTTTACAATATTTCACATAAACTTTTTAATCGTTAAGTTATTTAATTCGGTAATATGAAGCCTTTCTCTTCAATTTGGTACTTTCAGAATTCATGTAGACCCAATAGTTTACACATAATAACATTGTAGAAAAACGCTTTCTGGGATAAACAATTTCAATTATGCAATAACTATTAATTTATATAATTTACCGGTCTTCAACTTTACTATTTAAATACGTTATTTATATATTGTTTATAAGTAAAAAATAACGTTCAGGTTTTGCATATTTTATTTACTATATATTGTTATCATTAAATTTATCCAAAGCAGTTGTTGGATACCTGTATCAAATACTGTCTAGGGAAAATCGTTACTTCCCTGGTCTATGTTGCCAGATGGACAAAAACACATATTTTATTTAGCTGCAATCCAAGTTTATTGAATCAGTGGTTAGCAAAAGTGTTTGTGAAAAAATATTCTTATACACAGTGTGTACTTAACCTTGCTAAAAACTTATAAAGAAGCTAATTAATTGAACCAGTCTAAAAATCAAGTCCGACTCAACAACATTTTAAACCACCCACCTACTCTCAATTAACAACAGTTCAGTGCGTTTCCTTAAAAAAACAAGCTATAATGGTAGTACAAAGAACATCTTATTTAAGAAGATTCTCAAGAATTTCCAATAACCGTATCTGTTATCCAGTAAAACTATGGTCGATAAGTTCATGAAGCAACATCGAGAAATAATCATAGTAAATAGAGAACAAGTTCAAACTAATGCATTAATGATAACAATAATATCCATTATTAATAATGTTTATTACCTGTGGGAGTTTTTGTAAGTTCTTCGATCAGGCGCAGCTACCTGCGAATGGGGGATGTTCTCTGGGTATTCTTAGAACCAATACCCAGAGGGATACCTGATGTGGAACAAAAACTGACACCTGGCACTAAGTATAAAATGCACATCCATGAAAATGAAGTTAAATAATTTGTGTTTAGGGTCGCTGCCTGAGGATCGCCAGGGCATATCTGGAGCTGGCGCTGAACGTGACAGCGTGCGGGATGTCAGTGGCAGGGTGCTGAGGAGCGAACAAGAACAGCTACAAGTGTGTTAAACAATATCAATAGTTCCAATTGCTGAAGGAGCTGCGCTGAAACATCAGTCGGAGTTCACTCAAGCGGGATAACTGAGTGGCCAGTGAGTGCATTAAATTGACTATATATTTAAACGAAAACACTTTGCGCGCTTCTACTACAAGGTGACGAATCTCGGTCGACAAACGATCGGCTATCGACAACATCCGTATGCCGAATTTTACACCCAGAGTTTTGGAGTACCCAGATATTAAGTATTTGAACAGCGAATAGCAGATCAATACCGTCTAATTGTAACAAATAATCTTATCCCAGGGACTTGATGCGATACATTTATCAGACCACCGCTATCAAAAATAAACTCTTGTAGAAACTAGGTGCGCTGTTACAAACTGTGAACACTGAAGTCCTAGCCAATTATATCGTAGAAGCTCATATTAGAATATTTGCATATGCTGATGTACTGTGCAGCAACAGCAATTGCTAATGTTATGGGCATTAAGATCAGATCACGACGAGGTACCAATATCGGAAGAAGTGAAAACAGAATTGCACCCTGGGAAAAACGACTGCTGAGGAAAAATGAATTATTGCGTAGGAATATGGAACAAATTATGGAATAGATTCGAGAAGCAGAAGTAGAAAACTAAGAGCTGAAGAAATAATTCTGAACACTCCAAGACACTCAAAACATGATCCAGAAAACAACACAGCTCATCACTGCTAGGACACATTAAAACAAAAACTTTCTGTATATTAAGGTCGCCTAAGGAGATAAAAACTTAGTAAAAACCGGAAATGCGTCAATATACTTTTTAAGTAGGCAGAAAAGGCTTTCTATAGAAAACTGAATTCCACTGTAGAGAATGAAAATAAATTGTATTCGACCTAACAAGAAATTCATGAGTTTTTGGGGAAACTAACTTTCGACGTCAGCTACTCATAACAACAATACTGAATGAATTGAAGAAACGACGAACAACTATCAATACTACAGTAATATTCCTTATATGAACCTTTCACCACCAAAGAAGTCTTAAACATTATTAAAGAGAAGTGGAAGACTAAAATTCACCTTCAAATACCTAGTGAAAACAACATCGAAACTGAAGATATCCCAATTAATCGGGGCCTTTTTCAGGTGGACTTGAGTCCACTTTGGTTCTGCTTAGTGTTACGATTTTAAATGTTATGGCATATAGAACTGTAAATATTTTATGACTAATTCTTTTTTTATTGATTCTCGTAATTTGTAGGTCAAAATCTACCTGAGCTTCGATACCAGTTATTTACAGAAATATCTAGACCCTTCTACAAGAAAGGTCGACTATTCAGGTAACCATGAATGCAGTCGACGGCCGAGAATGACTCACCTAATGGATGGAAAGATCGATGCCTAGCCAGATTTCTCTAGATAACGGCATTTTGATGTATAAATAACGGTGATCCTCATTGAGGGGCAGTCAGTGATAAGAAGATCGGGAAACGCGGTTTACTTGTAACGAAACATAACAAATAAATTTGTATTTAATAAGCTATTTAATAAATTAGTAATTAGTTATCGTGAGTTTTAATAAATTAGAATATAGACAATAAATTAGAATAAAGACAAATAAATTAGAACAATATAAATAAATGCTACATTAGCGATGAACCCACTATCTTAGCTACTGAACTCCACTGACTCAGGTTTTATCATCAAAAATAGTAATACTGTTGTGGCGAACTTAATCATCTGCTGTATATGGATGATTTGAGATTAATGGTTTTCACTCGAAATCACTTGAACTAGATGCTAAAAACTGTGAAAACATTCTCAAATGATATCAATATACACTTTGGATTGCACCGTGTTCTAAATATAGTCGGAAGAAAGGTTCAATCCGGAGATTTCGATATGCAAGTAGGCCAAACATCGAGGCAATGGGTAAAAATAACATGTATAAATATCTCGGAATAAAGCAAGCGCGGAAAATTGACCATAAACCAATAAAAACCGAACTAACTTTTGTTAGTTCGGTTAAGTTGGTGCGAAGAGTAAGACAGCTAAATCCGTCATATCCTTATAGTAAAAAGCTGTTTAAGTCATTAAATACGTACGCCTGTACCGCGCTTAGCTACTCATTTGTTATTAGAAAGTGGTCAAAAACGGATATAGAAAGTCTTCAGCAGAAAGTAAACACATTTCTCACAAAGGTGAAAAACACCATCCACGCAGTGCAGTAGAAAGAACATTGCCGCAATATCAAGCAGAGGACTTATAGATATAGGTGAGCAACTGGATTAATAGGTTGCTAATTTAAGAACCTATTTTCAGGCACAGGCTGAGACATCTACTTTACATCAAGCAATTTGCGCAGTGAGTGAACAAGAAATGCGCATTAAACGACTACGCAAAAAAACGTGCACCTGGATGAGTAAACCTCTGCATAGGTGACATCTCAATGAGATCAGTGAAGAATATGACGACAATACAGTGTCGAACTAATAGTTGACATCAGGAAAGATGTTTCCCTAGACAAAGAGTTTTCTACTTGCCGTTTAAGATCAGGTTATTAAAACTAAAAATTACCTGAAATATATTGTTAAAGATCATTAAGTCCAAAATAACAAATTCCAATATGGATGCCAAGCCCAAGAAACCCAACATCTTACCAGGGGCTACCAGGCGTTAGTCGGTATTGATTATAAAGAACGCAATGATTATAAAGATTATAAAGAACTCTGATTATAAAGAACGCAATGAGTAAGTAGAAAAGATTATACACCAAGAACTAGCTAACAAACTGGGACTTTGCCAAACCGACCTTCTTCCTTATTATCAATACATTCTTGACAGAATTCTTGAAAACTACAACTATAAGCTATACTGGGACCGCACTGTGTTCACATACCAACCGGTGGTACACAATAGACCGGATATCCTACTAGTTTGCATAGTAGAACTTACTATGCAAACAACACTAATTGATGTGATATGAAACAAGAATAATCTGCGTGTTAAATACAATGAAAAGATCAGTCATTCTATCTATTATTGGTGTTATTCCAAAAAACCTCCGAGAGAACATAAAACAGCTGGGTCTTAATAAACATTTCTATAAGACCATACAGAAAGCTGTATTCCTTGCGACGTCCAGATGTGTACGAAAATTTTTGCGAGATACTCCATTGTACCAAGTCACCTAGGGCTCGATAACACGGAAAGAGTCCCACCGGAGCTCAATCTTTTTGATACCGTAGGTATCTGGAATGAATGAATTTCCTTCAGAGGTAGTGTAAGATGTATTTTTTACGTTTATTATTATCTAATGTCTGCCTAAACAGAATGTCACATCAACCTCTAAAACACCTGCTGCAATGACTGTTTTTTTCAAAAGCAACAATCTTAATAATTAGCATCAAAGTCTTAAATATATTATTTGTTTTTGAAATTAGATGTTAAAAACATGTGTTTTTTAACTTAAATAATTATTTTATAGTGGAATATACTTATAAATGCGGCATAATAGCTAAATGAAATGTCCACTTACCCAGCAAATCATTAAAGCAACGAGCAACATTTAATCTATTAAGAGGTTTTTCACTTAAGTCTTCAATAGTTGGAAAACCTTCGTCAAAATTAAATTTTGTAACAAGGTCCACAATTCTTTGTTGGCTAAAAAATAAATTATATGAAAATAAAGATGAATTATATTAAGGAAGAGTTCTAATGAAGGATTCATTACCTTGAAATCAATTTTAAATTATTGATTTTTTTAATAAATAGGATACTTTATTTATTTAATAAAAGCTCTTTATTTATATTATAAGTTTATTTCCGTCGACCGTCCATTTATGATCAATTTTAACACCCTCAAAATCATTGATTAATGACCCCTATCAATAAATGATTTTCTATTAATGAACGATTTCACTATAGGCAACACAACATATATTGCTTGCATAAATTAATTAAACGCTCTGTGATTGGCAGCGACGTGTGGTGTAGGCAACCAAACATAGACCTATTTATATTCCCACTAAAAAATATAAAATGAAGTAGCCGCTGTTAGTACTATCTGTCATTGTATGTCATTATTTACTTTATTGTATAAAATTCTGTGTGTTTGAAAAATCAAAAGATGGATATTGACGAAGAGTTTAATTTAACTCCACCAGAAGTGACAGAAACTGCAAATGAAATATCTTTAAGTTTACTGCCTGAAAGTAGCAGAGAGTTGTACGAAAAACATACGCTGAATTTATTGCATGGTATGACGAGAGAAAAATAATACGATATTCAGAATCTGTACATTACCGAAAAAGGACTAATAGCAAGTTTGTGTCCCAAATATTCGATGCTAAAATCAACCTTAAGTTTAAAATCAAACAATGATATATATTATGTTTATCAAGAAAAAGAACAGGTCATGTACCAAAGAAATCAAAAACACTTGAAAAAGAACAAGTCCAAAAATCCATATTTGATGCTCCTAATAACGTGCTTCTAATGATAAAGGTAAACCAGTAAATCAAGAGGGTAGGAGAGGTCTGGGACGTAAAAAAATGTCATGGCTGCGCAATATTCGACAATGGACAGGAATCCACAACTATGAAATGCTTCACAAAGCAAACACCATTCTCAATGCGATCAAAAACTATATTTCTTTAAGACCGGCACACACACCACATAAATAATTTTTAATTTTTTATAAAAATAACAAATATTTCACACATCCAGTTGGCATACATACGTTTTCCAAAATTCCTTCTGTTATTGCTAAATTCTTAACATTAGAGCCCCACATGTCTACACTGGGCATTGTTTTAGACGTTCCTCTGCCTCAATACTGTGTGATAGTGGTGCAGACTTTTCAGCTATTAAAATACTAGGTGGCTGAAAATTGACTACTGTAGCAGAAGGTTATATAGATAATTCTATGCAGAATAAACTTGAGATGGCTGAAAAACTCTTGGGACAAAATACCACTAAACCTTGTCAAAGTACTTCCTTCAGCACCACCGCTTCTTCTTCTATCACAGAATTTACAGAGTTCCAAGAAGACTTAAATATAAATTTGTCAAAATGCTATACAGCAGATAATCATTTATCAATACCTTCCTTTAATTTCATTAATTGTACTATTTCGAATATTAATGTTTAGAATAATAAAACTACCACTAAGGAAAATTAAACTTTGAATAAAGTTAATAAAAGCTAAAAAAATTGTTGTTTATCGTTAAGTAAATAAAAATTTATACTAAGATATCTTTATTTCTGAAAAGCACGGTCGACGGAAAAGTTTTGCAACGAACTCGTGAATTAAAATGGCGATTAACAATCTCGAACATTAATATACCCCATTTGTTAATCGACCTTATTAATACACTTGTTGGTTAAATAACTATTATTACTAATATATTTTGTGAATAACAATTTCTTTAGGGCTCAGTTATACGAGCGCTAATGTGGTCTCGTTAGCAGCACTGCGTTAGCATCGGCCCAACCGCATAATGACACTACCATGGAGTAAATTATACGACAGACATTGCCGTTGATAACTATGGTTTTTCTACTTACCGTTTTTTGTAATCAGCAGTCGTTTGGGGAGATAATTTTAACGATTTGAACGGCGAAGAAGGAAGCCGTTCTCTCTCTTCAAGGATTGGAGACAAAAGCTCAGATCTTTGGCTTGGAATAACTTCCGGTAGCTCAATTTCCATAGCGCTGAAATATATAATTTACAATATATACAACTATGAAGTTCATATACTTCATGAGCTAAAGGTATTACGACGTAAAGTAATAGAAACAACTAAAGAAATGGTGTCACTGAATACATAGAAAAGAAAATTAATGAATTTTATCAAGAAAAAATTGAAGTATATCACCTTATATGTAAACAGGGACTCTCCTTTTTTCTACGAATAAATAATAACGTGTGAAACGTTTGTACAAGAACTAGTAACACGATAAAAAAGAATACGGATAGGAAATACACGAAATATATTTAACAATATGAAACAAATGCTGTGTAGTAGAAACCTAAAGTAAAAATTGACATTACGTTTGTTTAAACCACCGAGCAAAAAGACAAAAGAGGGAATCTAATCGTTATGAAAAGGAGACCAAAAAAGTGGCCTCTGATGGCGGACATATCCGGAAATGCAAAGGCGCTAAATTTAAATTTTTCCACACTTAACAATAGCTATAAAATATTTTTCTGACGAGAAAGTTTTAATTAAATATTAACGATAATAGTCTAAAATGTGACACAAATGGTAAAAAACTTCAATATAAATAAAATTTCATGTGACAGATGGGACAAACAATGACATAACCAAACTAAATTTGATTTCTTAAACAAGGAAAGAAACTCTTTCCTTAAGAGAAAGATAGGTACTACCAGTGAACTGAACGAAGTGAAGACAGCAATGTTGTCTCTAAAAAATCATAAAGTTTTTGAATCCAACGGCATTTAGGTGGAATTATGTCAAAAACGTGTAAACAAACTACAAATCTGTAAATATATTGTCTCACAAAAGAAGTCGGGTAAAGAGAGAAAATACCCAACCAGAGGCATGAAAACCATATAGTACCTAACCACAGAAAAGAAGACAAATACATAAATACAAATATAGGAATTATTATATAAATTTCTGTAGTTAATACAACATATAAAAAATAATCTACATAATACTACTGAAAATATTCATTCCCTACGCAGAAAATATAATAGGCGATTACCAGTGTTGCTTTAGACCCGGAAGATTAAGCACACACCAGATTTTTATCCTACGCCAAATTAAAAAAACTGGGAATAAAACCGAGACGTACATAAAATATTTATACATTTTAAACAACCGTACGATTCTGTCAGCAGTGATGTATTATGGAAGGCTATGGTCCAAATACAAGTATCTAGAAGTTGGCACGATTAGCACATATGTACGGGAGAACTCATCTTCATGGATCAGGATTGGACCTCATCAGAAGAATTTTTCTTCATGAAATTGGTCTTAAGTAAATGATCTTGGTTATTTTAAACTTCATCTCGGAGGATTTAGTAAGAGTTACTGTTTACGAATAAAAAATAATTACATACTACTGGCTGTTGCTGACGATGTGGACACAATTGCATACTCCATCAGAGCAGCAAAAGAAGTCTTTACCCGATCTAAACAGCTCAACAAATAGATCAACGTTTTAAGGTCAACCAGGATTAGACCAAGGCCATGGTGGTTACAAAGGAATTCAAATACCTGGGAGGGATCATATTAGCCGAAAACACCTATGAAAATAACATGGTAGCTAAGATCATTTCAGAAAACATAGTATATTATTTCTTAGCAAAGTTACTTAAATAAAGAATACTCAAGAACAGTAAAATAAAAATATATACAACCATAATTCGCCTCAAAATAACGTATTGAAGCGAGACATGAAATCTGAACCACTGATAACAGGGAATAGAAAAGAAGACATAATCAGGAACTTTAGATACGGAAATAAAAATATAGTACGCTACATTAAGGTAATCCAATTAAGAGCTCTTGTTAACGACAACGGTCAACGGGTCGTTTTTGATACCGTCCTGTTGGCCGTTGCTCAGTGTCTTTCAGGTTCTTATGAATGTTTGTTCACGCAACGGCAACCAACCCGTTGGTTAACTTTTCACCGTCTACGTATCCAGTTACCCTCGGCAAGACGTTCGACGGGACGGTGCCGTGAACCCTCCGTGAACCATTTTAGTTTATGCAAGTGTGCTAACGGCGTTGGACGAGCATCCGTTGTTTTCAATACATTTCGTTCTTTGTTGCCGCTAAAATATGGATTTTGATATGGAGATTTTAATAAGTTATTTCACCAATAATTTTTAACTTATATATAGATTGTATATTCTTAAATGATAAAAAATCTATTGAGTTTGTAATTTCTTTTTAGTTTTTTTGTAACCGAAAGTTTTTATTCTGTTATAATAATAGCATAATTCATACATAGGTAACAGCTAGTAGATCAGCAGGTGCAAGGGATAGCCTCATATTAGTGTCAGCACGTTTTAATTTATCATGTACTATTCCTAACAATTTGCGGAAAGTTTCTTGACCTATTCGGAAGTAATTGAAGAATTTTGTTTCGTCTTTTTTCAATTCTTCGTAAAGTGTATGAAAAGCACCATACTTTTCTCTTTCTAACAAAATAGGATGTATCCATATTTTTCTTTTACGCTTCTCCCGTTGCTTCTGCATTTTGTATACAAATAATAGGCTAATATAATTTTTTTCTTTGACGACAACATGATATAACATGTATTGCGTGCACTTGTTACTTTAAAACTGACGATATTTCGGAGATTCCATAATGTCAACGGACGTGTCAACAGACGCATATCCCTTGAAAATTAAGATCGGCCCGTTACCCGTTGAAAAAAACGTTCGTTAACAAGAGCCCTAAGAGGGGCGCGACATGCATTAAGATCCAATAATGAAAGACTGATCAATAAAACATTTTAAACAATAATTTAAAATCACTTTTAGTACGAGTGAAAAAAAATATTCGATAGTTACATTCATGAGGATCCAATAGTCAGTATAAAAGTAGAATTGACATTTACATTATGAACTTATTACTTAGTAACAAGAAAAGAAAAACAGACCAACTACTAAATAGAAAGAAAACAGTGCTGTAACACTACCACTAGTAATATATATGTAGACGTAAAAAATATCGATGTACGACTTAAAAATAAAATTAGTAGTAAAATGGAAGATATAAGTATAAGAAAAAGGGAGTAAAACCATAAAGGACTAAATAATCCAATATGAAATGAGGAAAACCATTAACTAAAAATCAATAACTAAGACATTGGAAGATAAGCTAATGCTTAGCATGGTACCTAACGCAATAAGTTGGGGCTAAATCGGCTTGGTACAACATTACTGCAACGTTACATTTTTTAAGTTAACTAAACGTACCTACCTTATTATTCTTGATATCAATAATAAATGTATACCGTACCTGGGAGCCTCCTGCGTTTTATCGCTGGGACGTGGTTCATCGGGTATTAATTGTCTTCTATAAAAATAAAAAAATTCTTATGAGTAATTTTATCAAAATTATTACTTAATCTAAAATTCGTAAAAAAATCTGTAAGCTTAACAAAATAACAATGTATGTAAAATAACCTCTAGCAGGACATTAGCAGCCAAAGAATCGTCCTCTCCACTCTCCAATCAAAATCCAGTCGTCACAAATGTTCGCGCCAACCCTTGCGCTAATTCCCGCGCCAATCCCCACACCAACCTCTATCCAAACCACGTCACCATCGACAGTATAAATGAACCGTCCGCTGTTCCAAGTAGCAGTGATGTATTAATCTTAGCTTTAGGTTTAATATATTTATAACTATATATATATATATATATATATATATATATATATATATATATATATATATATATATATAATATATATATATATATATATAATATATATATATATATATATATAACTGTTTTGGATGGGTTGGAGTCAATAAAAGGGGCTATTTGTTAACTATTTTTTACTCGAGCTTTCAATTGTGATTACAATTATTATCAAGAGCTTCTAAAAAATACAAAATATCTTACAAAGTTGAACTAGAAATAAAAAATTTTTTGTTAACTCACCAAATAAAATTAGTTTTTTGTATAAAACTGCTGCTAACATATTATTACAAAAAATATTATTAAAAAAATGTCCTATTCTAATAAATGTTTCTCTGAAATAAATAAAGTTTCTTAACAAAAACAATTGAATTTGTAAACAAAAATTAAATAGCTACAAATCAGCCTCAATGTCATAAATACCAACTTAAAAATTTGCGTATATAAACTACATAGAAATAATATAATTATAAATTTTGCTTAGATTTTGAATTTCTGACCTTTTGTTTAAATTATTATCACTTTTGCTAATACAAATCATTTCCAAAAAAGTTCTTTTAAATTTATTACTTTCACTACATAAAATTTTAATATTATCAAAATCCATAATATGGTCTTTGTCTATTACATTCTCTGACAAAGCACAAGATTACAATTACAATTACCACAAAATTATGTTTTAGTTAGTTTTGATGTAACATCTCTTTTTACCAATTTACCTTTAAATTTAATCATAAGTAGTGTTGAAAAACATTGGAATGAGATTTCGCAACATACTAATATTGACTTATTACATTTTAAAACACTCATCAACTTTGTTTTTGATTCTAATATTTTTATATTTAATGGTGTTTTTTATAAACAAATTTTTGGTAGCCCTATGGGATCTAGTGTTTCACCCATTCTAAGTAGCTATGTCATGGATGATGTTATTAGTGATTGTATCAATAATTGCACTTTTTTCATTCCATTTATCAAAAGATATGTAGATGATCTAGTTTTGGCACTTCCTAAACACAAAATTCTTGAAACAGTCAACATTTTCAACAATCATAATCAACATATACAATTTACAGTTCAGGAAGAGGTAGATAATTCTCTACCATTCCTTGACATGAGAATTGTAAGAAATACAGACAATATGTTGAAAACCAGATGGTTCAGAAAACCCATATGTAGTAATAGATTTATAAGCTATTATTCTCATCATCCAAATAAGATGAAAATGAACCTTATAACAGGATTAAAGGAACGTGTTTTAAAACTTTCTCATCCAGACTATCTACAAGAAGATCTTAATTTGTTAAAAAATATTTTAATTGAAAACTCTTATCCTCCAGATATGCTACATAGGATGCTTTTTTCTAATTTATTAAATATAAATAACACCATTATATAATAACACCATTTTTTGCTAAATCTCGAAACACTGTATCCAACAATCAGAACATATATTATCATTCACTACCTTTTATACCATCATTAACTCCTAAATTAATACAAACACTAAAGGTTATTGACAATATAAAAATAGCAACAAAGAACATCAAAACCATTTCATCTTTATATTCCAAAACTAAATATCCTATAGACAAATTAGATCAAACAAATGTAGTATACAGCATTGGTTGTACTCAGTGTGAAGCTGAGTATGTTGGTGAGACTGGAAGAAATCTCTCAAATCGCATTATTTCTCACAAAAGTGATTGCAGAATTAAGAAACCATCTTGTGCTTTGGCAGAGCATGTAATAGACAAAGACCATATTATGGATTTTGATAATATTAAAATTTTATGTAGTGAAAGTAATAAATTTAAAAGAACTTTTTTGGAAATGGTTTGTATTAGCAAAAGTGATAATAATTTAAACAAAAGGTCAGAAATTCAAAATCTAAGCAAAATTTATAATTATATTATTTCTATGTAGTTTATATATGCAATCAGTAAAATATCACATTTTGAATTTTCCATGTATTTGTTACATTTTTTCAGGCATCTATCAATGGTGAATAAATCTTCTTCTTTTTTGTTACTAAACAAAAAAGAATTTTTTAAACAAAATTTTATTTTTGACAATATGTCAAAAATAAAAATTTTTAAGTTGGTATTTATGACATTGAGGCTGATTTGTAGCTATTCAATTTTTGTTTACAAATTCAATTGTTTTTGTTAAGAAACTTATCAAAATTTATTTCAGAGAAACATTTATTAGAATAGGACATTTTTTTAATAATATTTTTTGTAATAATATGTTAGCAGCAGTTTTATATAAAAAACTAATTTTATTTGGTGAGTTAACAAAAAATTTTTTATTTCTAGTTCAACTTTGTAAGATATTTTGTATTTTTTAGAAGCTCTTGATAATAATTGTAATCACAATTGAAAGCTCGAGTAAAAAATAGTCAACAAATAGCCCCTTTTATTGACTCCAACCCATCCAAAACAGTTTTATATTTTTTCCAAACGAGTCACAAGTATTTCTTTTTTCTTACTCTTATATATATATATATTATATATATATATATATATATATATATATATATGTATATCATATATATGATGACATACTACAACCTTATTTAAGTCCTTGGTTTTGTGCACCTGACTATTTTATTCGTAATATCAAAATTTCTACCGCTCGTTTACATAATATATGCTATACTGAGCTTTATAAAATATGATAGTACTGACCTTGCTTTCTTTCTTGGAGAAGCATCAATCATCATGAGTTCTTCAGAAGGCCCTCTAAAAAATAATAATTAATTTTGTTAAATATTAATATTTAAATTTATATTTTGGTAAATATTTTGTTAATAATAAGTCACCAGGCATTATTTTTTTTTTCAAATAAAACATATTTTTTAAAATTCTTTAAAAAAGAGCAGTGATGTGATATAAGTGGCTATTAATATCTCGGGTTACTCAAGACATATATTTTATTTAGGCCTAGTCGACCTGGAACTTTTTAATATTTTTATAAATACATATGTCGATATTTTACCGGTCTCTCAAAAAATATTCAATCTAAAGTTCTATCATTTTAGCTTTTCAGTTCTATTTTTTCTTTATCGGAGAAAAGATAGAGCTAATTCGGAGTTTGGATATCATCTTCACTATTTTCTGTATCTACTTTTGAGGAATCTAGATAACTAAGGCAACTAACATTAAAATAAGAAAAACATCGTATCTGGGTCACATAGTTCGAAACGATAAATACTCTTTTCTACAAGTTGTCATGCAAGGAAAAGTAGAGGAACGAAAAGACTTCACCAACCTTCGTTAGAAGACAGCACAATAACAAGGAGAAGATAACTAATAAACTATCCGAATTAATGTCTTGACGAGCTACGATGAAAGCACACCGGCAAGGCACAAAGATCCAGACACTAACTGGTAGGATATCAACCAGACGAGTAAAGAAAGAATAAAAAAGAATAGAACAGAGTAAAAAATAAAAAGGTAATCACAGAGTAGGAAATGGAACTCAACGGTTGTGAATTGCACTGGAATTGGCCAAGTGGAATAATTATATTAGGTTTGTTAATAAAATAGGATGGAGAAGCTTGAAAAAAAAAAAAACAAAAAGACACATTCTCGAGGTATGTAGGGAAACTATACACCTGGGAATATTTGCCTCACACGCTAGGTTAATATTACTACCTCACATCGTTTAATCAAGTTTTTCCATTTAGGTTATCCAAAAGAAGACACATTTTTTTACAGGTATCCCAGATGGAACATCCATAATTCCTAGGTACTAAGGCTGTCCGCTGTTAGGCACGAACTTGGCAGCACACCCTCAGGATAGTCGGCTAAAAAGGTAAACAAATACCATTTACCAAGTTGGTACCGTCCTATAATGTATGACGTCTTTGATCTTCGGATATGAGAACACGATACCGGGATCTCATGTCCCCTGGAGCTGGGATTTACTTTAGAAAAAAAAATCTTCATTTGATTGTTAATTTCAAAATTTGATTAGGTCCCATTTCATTTACAAAATGTCTCTGGTTCTAATATTATAACTTAGAATTCAACGGATTCCGACAACATCTTGGATCTAATCTTCCTACATTACGAAAGTACCGTATGTCCTTCTAGATAGGGTCCCACTTTTTTCCTGACACACCACAAATTTGATTTTCTTCTCTATAAAATGTAAACAAAAGGCAATCAATATTAGAAATTACGCTTAAGGTTCTATATAAATAAATCGACCTATTTTTGCGATAAACCTGTGAAAACACAACTAGACACAGTATTATTTTATATAAAGATATATATATATATATATATATATATATATATATATATATATATATATATATACATAATGATGTTAAAAAAATACACCTAGACAACTGTTAGTTAACCAACAACCAATAGAACGGTTCACCAATAACTGTTATCTAGATACAAATTTGAATCATCTGCCTGCTGAGATGCTATGTTTTCTTCGTTCTTTTTTAGGAGTGGAATGATTTACCTTTTCCGAGACATCTATGAAACGCCTTGAAGCATTTGAAATGTGGTGCTAAAGGCGCATACTGAAAATCGCTTAGATGGGCAGTTACTAATAATAAGGTCGAGCAATGAATGGGAAAGGATAGCGAAATAAGCAGAGTTATAAAACGACGCAAACTAAAATATATGGGCCATGAAAATCGATATCGCCCACTCCACAACATTCTACAAGGCTCAGGTCGCGGCAAGAGAGGCCCAGGAAGGCGTACAACTTAAAGACTAAGGACCTTTTGAGATCAGCAGTACAACAGCAATCAGCCAACATCCCTAACGGATAGGCACTGCAAGAATTAGATTAAAAATTATACGTGTTTTATTGGATCAAACTAATACTTACCGATGTCTGCCCTTAGGTGTTGTGGTAATACTTTGCTGATATTCTGGTTCCATAGAAGTGGGTCTAGAGATAATTCAAATATACAACGAAATTATATTTTATATTTTATAAAATTTCAAAAATATGAAGTCACAGCAAAACAAAATATATGTTAAATTATAAATATTGTAGATGTAAAATCGTCAAAAAACATTGGACAAATAAACAAACTCTATTACTTTGTGAAGCTAACACAATATAAGGTAAGTACTAATATTTTAAATACGCAAATTTTTCTGTACAATTCGAATAAGTTACACGAAATTTGTAATTTACGTTTCTAACCTAAAAGTTAATTTTTTCAGTCTCTTGTTTTTATACAAAAAGTATAAACAATTGATTATTTTTTGTTATAAATCGTTAATACAAGAGTCATACTTTACACAAACGGTTAAAATTTGAATGAAAAAATTACTATTAAGATGTTATTAACATTATAATCAGAGCAAAGAGCCCTTACGACAGTTTTCCAATTATTTATCGTTAATTTGTTATAGATCGGCGACTAGTAAAACTTTTGATTGATAAACTTATGTGATCTTTATCATCATCCTACAATCTGTACAAAATATGTAATTCAAGGGCTAGTAGTAGGCGCACTGAATAACAAATCCTAAATGTGACTTGGGATAATAGTATTATTTTCATGTTTCAAGCTGTCGGGTACGAACATTTACGGAAGAAAGTTCATTTTACTTCTTTTGCACACAAAATATGATGGTATAATCAATAATTCTTCGATGTGACACCAGTCTAGTATATTGCGGTACTATTAATTCGTAAATGTTTCAGTTAGAATGGCTAGAAAACAGTGGTCCTTTAGGAAGTTAGAAAACTTGGGGTCAGATGAGATTGAAAATATGTTTTTTGAAAACAACGAAGTAGACATAAATTTAGCATATTATTCAGATTTTGGCGGAGACAGTGACGCAGAAGATATTTTGCCTACATCGTTTTCAATCAATGGTGCTTCAACAAAGACTGTCTGAAAGACTAAACACGTCGAAAATAATTTATGACTCGGATGATTCTGTCGAGGATCCGGACTACGTTTCTGTTACTGCATCTGAATTAGAAAAATCTAATGACAGGAGCATTACGAGTGAGCAGCAAATTGAGGAAAGCGAGTTTGATTAGCAAAATGGAGGAGATGATGGAGAAGAAGAACAAAATGATGAAGGTGGATCGAATAATGAAAACGGTGAAATTGTGTGGTCGAAAATAGCAAAACATTCGGTAGGCTACAATAGTTTTAATTTTAACGAAAACACATTACGCATTGTACCAGAAAATTTAGAAAAACCTATTCAATATTTTTGTAATTTTTTAAATGAAACTGTATTAGATAATATTATCAGAGAATCGAATAAGTACGCAAATCAAAAAGGAGTAAATTTAGATTTGAATACAGATGAGCTAAAGGCGTTTTAGGCATTTTGATAATCATGGGAATCCATCAATTACCTGGTGTAAGATTATACTGGTCAACAGAAGTGAATTTTCACGTAAACCGGATTAGTCAAGTCATGATACAAAAGAGATTTCTACACATTCTTAGATATTTACACTTGAATGACAATGAAAACATGGCTCCACGTGACAGTCCAAATTTTGATAAACTGTATAAAATTCGTTCTCTGACTAATATTGTTAGCAACTTATTTTTAAATTCTTTTATGCTTTCTCGTTATATTGCAATTGATGAAAGTATTGTTGAATTCAAAGGGCGCACGTCCATGAAACAATACATGCCCCAAAAACCTATCAAGCGAGGATTTAAAATATGAGTAAGGGCTTGCTCCGTAAGAGGGTATAATTTAGGATTTAAAATTTATGAAAGTAAGGAACCTATTACCAATAATAAGTGGGGACTTGGTGATATAACTATTCTGCAAATGTCACAACTGTTTCAGGGTAAAGGTTACTCCTTGTATTTTGATAATTATTTTAATAGTTTTCCTTTGTTGCAGAAATTGCTAGAAACGGATACTTTTGCTTGTGAAACCTTGCGTCAAAATAAAAAGCACTATCTCAAACAAGATCTAGTAGCTGATAAATCTCTTAAAAAGGGAGAGTACGATTATTGCACAAATGATGATTTATCCATTTGCAAATGGAAAGATCGCGGCAAAAAAGCTGTACTACTTGTTAGTAATTTTCACGATCCCTCATCTTTTTTTTTTTTTTTTTTTTGAACCTATTCTCTATCCTTCCATTGTTGGATATAGGTCTCCCCCAGTTCTCTCCATCTTTCCCTATCTTGAGCTGTTCTCTGCCATGTGGGACCTCCTTGTTTCCTGATGTCATCTTTCCACCTCATCTGTGGTCTGCCTCTTGATCTCTTTGCATTGTATGGACGCCACTTTCCGATGGCATTGTTCCATCGTCCGTCTTGGAGACGTTCATTGTGTCCAGCCCATTTCCATTTCAGTTTTGCTGCTTGTTCTATCGCGTCTACTGTCTTTGTTCTGGTTCTGATCCACTGGTTACGTTTTCTATCTCTAAGTGATACACCCAACATTTGTCTCTCCATCGCTCTTTGTGCCTTCCTTATCCTATCCAAATTGGCCTGTGTAAATGTCCATGTCTGTGCTCCGTAGGTGAGCACCGGTATGATACAGGAGTTATATACCTTGCTTCGTAAGTATAGAGGGATTGTTTGATTTTTTAGAACGTAAGAAAGTTTGCCGAACGCTGCCCATCCCATTCTTACTCGTCTCGATATTTCGGCTGTTTGATTTTCTCTATTAGCTCTGATTGCTTGTCCTAGATAGATATACTCATTTACCTGTTCTATTTTTTCTGTTTTTATTTTTATTGCCTCTTGGTCTTCCGTGTTTGTCATTACTTTTGTTTTGTTGTTAAGTTAATTCTGTAGGCTTAATTCCGGATACTCACAGGCGTTACTCACATTATGAGTTAAGCGGCTGTGATACTGCGACAACAGCAGCGTCTGACCCAGAGTGGGCGGCTGCAAACATCGTCTGTTCCCAGAGTGGGCGGCTGAAACATACTTACCAACCCGTCTGGCCAGCGTGGTGAGTTCACGGCCAATCTACCCCCCTCTTATGACAGATACTATTACTCATCTATTACTCAGCAATTACTCATCTATTATTTCGCAACATATTAGCCAATGAATTAATAGAAGACTTAATGGGGCGCAAAATAAAAAGTCCTTTGCCTAAAAAATGTAAAGAGAACAAAAATTGAATATAAACAATGTAGTGTAGGACTACACTACACTTATCATGTTTCAAACCATTTCATTAAAAATAAATACTTATATTTTGTTTTTAAAATAAGTGGTCCTTTATTGATACCATCCAACATTTCTTTCACTTCAAGTGCATAAACGGTCAGTGGTTCCTAATCGTATCACCCCTTAAATCATAACTAGATCAAAAACACTTTTTTTAAATAATTTTTAAGTGTTTCCAAAGGTATTCCTCAGTCATCAAATCGATCATAATAGACAAAATAAAAAAAAAATACTGCGCGTTAAAGGGTTAACTGGGTTATGAACGTAGTAATGCTGCAGTGAGATTTTGTACGATCCGTATAATAACAAATTGTACAGATCTTAAATTACATGTTACAGAATACTACAATCGTCAGAGGCGAAAATGCCACTGAACCTCTAAATATCACAAGAAAGACCTGAATTTTGCTGAGAATGTCAATTTTGGAACCGTAATAATTTTTGGTACCCCTAAACTTGGGTACCTCCTAAAACCCCGCTATTGGGGTGGGGGAACGGAAAACAATGATTTACCAAGAATCGTATGTCGTAGATTTTTTATTTATTTATCGTATGGCATATAATAAGAACACATAATTAAAAAAATCAATATAAAAACGTTACGTATGTCGTAGAATTAATGGTTCAAACTAGAAATTTAGCTAAAATAATTTCAAACAAAAATGTTTAAAAATACTTTTTCTGCACATGTTCATAAACACAAAAGTGACCTTCGATTTTGAATGACAGTTACGTGCATAAAATCAAATTTTTAAAGAAAATTTGTATCAACGCGACGAAGTTTTGCAGCAAATAAAGTCAGTTTCGATAAAGCTGTTCAATAAATAATCTTGGCACTATGGAATTTTCATTGTTAGAACAGGACAGACGGTCCGAACAAAATTAAATAAACAACTTTTTATTTCTATTTTGCTGTTTCAAAATGATACGTATTGTATTATTAAAAATTGATACTTACCGATCTCTGCCTTTGGGTGATGAGGTGACGCTGAGTTTAGGTTGCTCTTCTAAAGTTGTCCTGGTAATAAAATTATTATATAATTATACGATAATTTATATGTGTATCTGTGCAATATTTTGAGTCTGATAAATGACAAAATACTATTGTAATAGAAAAAATAATTCAAAAAGAGATTAAAACTCTTCTTACCTTGGTACAATTAGTTCTTCATGTATACTTGGAATCGACAAGGTTCCTCTTGCTCTGTCTGTTCTTTCAAGTGACGAGCTTCTGAAAAAAATTATATTTTATAATAAAGTAGAGTTCCAGTCATAAACCGTAATATAAATAGGCAGCTTAAGTGGAACGATTGCCACTTAACAATTAATATATAAAATTGTCACGAAATGTCAGTATCGACATTATAACATTTCAGCAACCAAATTAACATCTGGATCATGCTATAGAGAATCAAATTTATGTTGTCAATTGTATATGTATATAATCAAAATATAATAAACCTGGACAATCTGAAAAATTCAGAAATAGAAAAGCAATTAGGAGAAGAATTGAAAAGAGAATTCTTAGAACATAGGAAGAAATCAATTCCACAAGAATGGAATAAGACGTTAATAGGGAAAGAGACTAATAGAATGATATAAATTAAAAAATATAAAACAGAAACAAGCTTTGGCTTGGTGAAGGATGTCAACAAGCAATAAATAAAATAAATGTGTAAAAATTAAAAAATAATGAAGAAAGACAAATAAGTGTTCGGTGCAAGTAAACATAAATTTATTATAAATAATAAAATCAGGGATATGTAATTAAGATTTAAAAATTCTTCTTTAAGAATTTAAAGAATAGAAATAGAAGAAAAGAATAGAAATTAAAACGATAGAAGGGTAGGATATATACAAACCAATTATAGGCAATTTCAGTAAACAAGAAATTAACAACGAAAATGGGCAAAGATTGATTAACTATAGAAAGTCTCTCGGCAGCAAGTAAAATGTTTTCCAGAAAAATACCCATAAAGGTAACTGTTCAGCAACAAATAAAAAATAATCAAATCAACTAGACCATTAATTCATACAAAAAAAAAACACATGAAAAAGGAAGAAATTGCCAAAGTTATAAAAATTAATTAACAGTTTAAATAGGGTTAAAAAGGAGGATAAACGTGGCATATCGAACAGAAAGTTTAAGCAACAGCGGCAAAACAGAAAAAAAGGCAAAAATACAAAGAATGCAAAATTTTAGGAAACATTCTAGGAGCCAAAAAAGAGAACTTAGAAAGAGAACTAATATTGAATTAATTAATTCATATGGTCAGGGTAAGGTCATTTATAAAAAAGGAATGAGGAAAGAGTACCAAGGAAATTGAAACAAATAAAGTTAGCTTAAATATTCCTATAGAAGTAGGTAGGCCTAAAAGATTATCAATAAAAAAAAAGAAACATGGAGTAGATCCTAGCCGGAAGGAAGCAACTTGCGATATGAAATCTTGGGAAGTAAATATGTGTTATAACTACACGTAATGAGCCGAATAAGTATACGCAAGAAATTATAATCACTTTATGAAAATTAAATAAATTTTTTGTGACTTTAGAGATATATTCTTAGATCAAACATTAAAATATGTAATAACTTACGCTGTTAGTAGAGCTTGTTCCAAATCTGTTTGGCTATGTCCCTCTTCAGGCTGGTATAAATATATAAGATCTTTTTTGAAACATTCTATGGGAGAAGGAGTGTATTCCATAACAAATATCTCTTCATTTAGCTGAAAATTTAAAATTTTTATTTAAAATAAATAATAATAATGGTCGACTAGAATTCTGGCTTGGTGCACAGAAAAATAAAAAGGCTAACGCAGTAGTTTAACATTTTTAATAGATCAGCTACTGAGACTAGAATACGATGATGTCTGACCGGCCTATGGTGAAGCATAAAGCAAGAGATTAAAGCTTGCGACTTACTGATACTCCTCGATAGATCCCTACAGGATGTACGCTTAATAAAATGATTATTTTGGGTTATATGTAGATTCATGTAACTAATTTAGATAAGTGTATACCTACATTGGAACCGTATTTCTCCCGATCCGATATCGGGCGACGTCGGCCGACGTCGGATTGAAAACAAACTCAAGGTATTAAATCATAGTGCCTATACTGCTTCGTCATGGAAGCAGTATAGGCACTATGATTTAATACCTTGAGTTTGTTTTCAATCCAACGTCGGCCGACATCGCCCGATATCGGATCAGGAGAAATACGGTTCCAATGTTGGTGTACACTAATATTTAAAAATGATGCCGTGCCACATTAAATTTTACATTTAATTTTAATTTTATTTTAATTAAGTAGTATGAAAAATAGATGGTACCATAAATGTATCATTCAATTTTCTGTTTTTAAAAGGCTACTTATATAGAAAACAATAATACGTCTCATTATATCATTTTAAATTACCTTGTATGTATTAAAACACCGAAAAAGTATTTTTAATTATTTTTCATCGCTGGAGTTCAAATAAACACATTTTAAAGTTTGTTTATATAACACAGATGGGTAGTTCTTTGGTATGTCTTTGATCGAAAGCCGCTTTAGGACATATTGCGCATCAAATAAACATCCACTTAGATCGCTGAGAAGGTATTGCGAGGAAGATAATTACTTCACTCTCAGTAAGGCCATTGTCAAAGGCAGTTGGTTTCGGTGTTATTCCGAATTTTTCTTCTAATTCGTAAAGTTTTTTCGTCATGGGAAAATGTGCAGTATAGTAACAGTATGGAGTTTAAGTGCAGTTAATAAACTTGAGTTTGGAAGAGTTTTTGAAGAAAGAACACGCGGCGTGGTTCGTCTGAAGAAACCGGCAAATTTATTAGTAGAAAAGTGAATTATACTCGAATGTAATGTGTCAATTTTCGCAAGAGTAATCACTGTTTTGTTTCGTGCTGTTTCTCACTTAAGTGATTTGAAGAACGGCGTTTCCAACAACTCTAAAAAAATACCCACATGGTTCCATTGCGTTTGAGTTTTTAAAAACCCAAGTTTCAAAGTTTGCCCAGTCCCAGTGCCCAGTTTCCACCCTCATTTTGTTTGCCCCAGGTCATTCCAGACTATTTTCGCAGTTGTTTGTGTTGCAGTGAATTTGAGTCCAGTTCCAACCCCAGAACTTTTAAAGGAGAAAAATAACATTTAGTGAAATTCAGGTATTTTTTTTTGTTGAACTTTTAAAGTAAAAATAGACATTCTCCATTAATAATTGCTTTCATGACAAGTTGAGAAATTGTAATAAGTGAAATATCATAAATATTAGGTAGTGGCTAGCTGTCATATTAATTATTCTCAAAGTTTTAAAATTTAGTATTGACATAAAATATGGCAGTTCGCATTGTTTTTTTGACATTTAATATATATATATATATATATATATATATATATATATATATATATATAATTTCTTTCTGCTACAAAATATAATCCATTGATAATTGATTTTTTTTCCATTATTTCCATGAATCCATTAATTTTTTTTCTAAACCAAGTTGTTTATTACCTTTCGTCAAGCATCGTCTCTTCAGAAAGTTTTAGGGAACATTGATTATGAAGTATAAAATATTTAATTCAAATATTTCAATCTAATTGAACATCGTTTATCATTTCAGGTAACGTTTTATTGTGCATTTATTTTGCTCTGTTGTTTTTTTCCGTTTTAGCAAATTAATATTTGTAATTTTTTCAGAGCGTTTTCACAACTTACTAATATAATAAAAATATTTCCTAAATCTAACTTTTTAAAAACATTTCCCAACTACATATTTATACTTACATCAATACAACGATTAATACGAATAAAACGAGCTGATGACGTTGTTAAAAATATCCTCTTTTGTTCCTCTATCGGAAGCTCTTTCTAAAAATATATAATAAATAAATAATAAATATATATAGATATTTTTATTTGGAATGATGAAACTATGGACATCGACACTATGTTACCTTTTTTGAAACAACTCGCCGTTCTTCAATAGGTTTTTTAAATTCTGCTCGTTCTTCAGCTCTATCTTCCTGGATTTGATCCACCACTTGAATTTCCTTTAACACACCAGGAGGAACTGCCCTTTTAGCAGCTGCAGCCGTTTCTCCATTTGGTGTACTAGCAGCTATTGGAGGAATCTCAGTAGCAAGAGGCATTTCGGCTTCCGTAATAATATCTTCGATTACTGTGGGTCTTTTTTCTACATGATCTATCTTGGTAGATGCGATAGTATCGGGTACTGGACTTACTAGTAGGTTGAAATAATTATAATATTAAATATATTAATTTCAGGGTGAGTCATGAGGAACTTTACATACTTCTACCATATGTAGAGTCCCTCAGGGAGCATATCATGTGGCCACTAAAAAATGTCAACTCCTCTTCTTTATTAATTAACAGGGTGATTTGTGTAATTGACCATTTATTTCATTTTACTGTAGTGTTTATACGGCTCATTTGATTTTTTTAATTTTTGCATGATACAGTACACTACTATCAAGCATTCGACTGGTATTAGCTAAACTAAAAAATTCCAGGACTGGCTTTGGAAAAATTAATTTAGGGATTCGTATTAAATATTACACCCTGTATATATATATATATATATATATATATTATATATATATATATATATATATATATATTTTAAATGCAATAAGTGATTTTCAAACTACATAAATAGCCAATGAAAACGACATATGCGACAATGTTGTCGCACTTTTATTAAATTTTTAGTGAACGATCAAATCTTACCAAAAATAGAACAACCATAATGAAGTATCAAATTATAAGGTATTAATTTAAACAAATGTTATAAATTTCAAACATTTTAATTAAAATGAGTTCCTACAACATAATCTAATACGTAGAAAATTAACATCTTTACTGTCACTTTGTATTATCTCTACGATAGAATCAATTGTTTTTCAATTTTAAATTTTTACTCATAGATCGTATTGGGGCATTATTTTCGATAAATAATAAATTAAATTGATTAAAAAGTCAAACCTCTTGTATGTGTTAGTTTTTGTTGATTGTAAATGATTAAAATTTTATGTCAAATAATAATACATTGCATCAACTGTACTAAATAAAAACTAAATCTAAAAAAGTTTAAAATGAAGGTTGGCGTTGACCGTTTGACGTTTCTTGATATTTTATACCCATTGTCATTCATTATCAATTGTTATTTATGTGTACAAGAATACATATTTCTTCTGTCATATCTACGTTAAGTACATTGTGTTAGTTTTGGTAGAGCTTTTGTTACTTTCGTTCAAAATGCCACATCAGTTTTCGACCACAGAATATGCAGACATAATATTTGTTTATGGATTCTGTAATGGGAATGGTAGGGCTGCTAGTAGAGAATATCGCAGGAGATTTCCTAATCGTCGAACTCCCAGTCATCCAACATTTGGGTCAGTTTTTAATTATTTGCGAGAAAATGGCACTTTTCCTAGTGGAACAACAGAGCGACATGTAGATGAAGCGCAGGAAGATGACATTATGGACGCCGTTACTATGAACCCTACAATAAGCACTAGACAAGTAAGTCGAGAACTCAATGTTACTCAATCAAAAGTAAGTAGAGTCTTACAAAAAAATAATCTATACCCATATCACATTCAAATGGTTCAGCGACTACATGCTGGAGATGAGATCGATAGGTTGGAATTTTGTAGATGGATTAACAATAATCGACCAACGCTATACAGGACACTATTTACAGATGAAGCCCAATTTACCAGAGACGGGATAAATAATTCACGAAATTCACATGTGTGGGCAGAAGAAAATCCCCATGCTATTCGAGAACGTCGTTCTCAGTTAAGGTTTTCGGTTAACGTGTGGATTGGTGTCATAAATAATCAATTAGTAGGTCCTCACTTTTTTGATGGTCCTTTAACAGGGCAGGTCTATTTGAACTTTCTACAAAATATTTTGCCGAATTTGCTTGCCAACGCGAACGTTGCTATCCGAGGGATGTATTTTCAGCATGATGGGGCACCCCCACACTTTTTACTGGCAGTGAGACAACATCTCAATAATGTTTATGGCAACAGGTGGATAGGACGTGCAGGTCCTATTTCATGGCCTTCAAGATCCCCTGATTTCAATCCCGTTGATTACCATATTTGGGGACGATTGAAGCAACTAGTTTACGCAGTGAATATTAATAACCGACAACAATTAATTGATAGAATTATACATTGTTGTAATACTATTAGAAACGATCCCCAGAGTATCCGTAATTCATACGTCAATTAACAATTCGGCAACAAAAATGTGTACAGGCTGCAGGGTTCCATTTCGAAAATCTATTTTGAATTATTTTTATTTTGTTACCATTATTGTATCTTTTCCAGTTCTAATTTATGGGTTTATCATAACTATGTACATATTTTTAGTTTTTTTTTAATTGTTCTTCGTTATTGTTAGTAGTTACTGTTTTTTTGTTGTGCAGTGACTCAGTTTATCATTTCAGTTAAAATGTTTGAAATTTATAACATTTGTTTAAATTAATTACCTCATAATTTGATACTTCATTATGGTTGTTCTATTTTTGGTAAGATTTGATCGTTCACTAAAAATTTAATAAAAGTGTGACAACATTGTCGCGTATGTCGTTTTCATTGGCTATTTATGTAGTTTGAAAATCACTTATTGCATTAATATATATATATATATATATATATATATATTATATATATA